CAAAGGGAAGATCTATTGATACAGCTAACATAATAATCCAAGCATGAAATAGCCAGGGAATGCTAGGACAAGGAAAATATTTGTAACATACTTCTGTCAGCAAAAGCTGCTGTTACTTTTTTTAGGGTTTATAGTTTTATTTAAAGCCATGAATGATTTAGTTCATTTTCCAAAGCTACCTTTTATGTACTGATTTCACACACACCCACAAGTACATGCACCATTAAAAATGCGAGAACACTGTCTGCAATAAGGAGAGCTTGTTCTTTTGGATGAAAAGAAAAGATCAAAACCCCAATTTACTTCTAGATGGCCTGGTACTGTCTTTTCAGATCTATTCAAACAAGCAGAACTGATGTGACAGGACTCTGCAAACAGCTGCAATGTTACTTTTTTTTCCTAGCTGGAAGGTCAAGCGGAAGATGAGGAAGGAGGGTGCACCCTCATCCCTGCCAATTCACAGCCTGTTGCTGGCTTGCTGAGGGCTGCTGTGTGGCAAAAATTACCCCTCCAGGAATGGCGGTCTTCCTCCAAATTCATGGAAGGGGAGCACGTTCACATGTAGTAGGATTATGCTATCTGCAGGCAAGTAACTTCAAAGAAGTAAACCAAGTCGTCACTCTGCCCAAGGTGATGGTAATAGTCTCCAATTGGAAAAACGGTGATAATTGATATAAAGTGGGTATCACTGTACATTGTCTTGAAAAACTCACTCATTTGTTCACTGCACAAGCAGTGCAGAGGATTTTTCAAGGCATGCAGCAGTGTATGTGACACACTGTAGACTAGAAAACGTGTCAAGACCATGGCACAGTTAAATGCAAGACTGACATTATCCGCCATTTACTACAACAGTGTCTTTTGGTCTGGCAGGAACTAGATTTCTCTGGAACTGATTTACCCAGACTTCTCAGTCTTCAGAATTTTCCTGAAGTGCTTCTTATTATTAAAGGTCAGAGCTGAATATGGGAAAGAGAAACAACGCATGCATCATCCTACATCTTTCTCCTCAATTGTTTGCAAGGTATTTGCTGTGTTTTCCATTGTAATTCATCATGAGATTTTACTTGTTATTAGGCTTATCTTGCCTCCACAGAATGTGAACAGCTACAAGAATCTAAATAATGTCTAACAGTCTCAAAAAGTCATTGTGAATTTAATTAGAAAATATATGCCAGCAATAAAATCATCTTGTCCTTTGAATGGTCAAAAAGAGAAACCTAAGGACAAAGCCCCAAACATCTGCTCGCCTGGTGACTGAGAAGCATACACACTCCCAACACAAACCTTTGTGGAAAAGCCTCTATCTGTGTCTCCATGGACACTGAAGAACCTGCTTATATAAAATCTGTATTGAATTATTAGCCAGATACCAGAAAGCTGCTGGGTTTTCACAGAACATGAAGAAACTGCATACAGGAGTGTGTAACAGCACAAAGCACACCATGGAGCTGGCTGGAGAGGCAGCCAGGGCTGCAGCCCGCCTTGTTCCTGGTTTACAGAAATCTTCAGTGATGCTTTATTTACTAGAGCTTGACTTTTAAACAAGCCAAATATCCAAATTCTTGATAAAAAACAACTGGAGTGCAGTTTCACATTACCTCTGAATATCAAAGCAAGCTCCTAGTCACTTGCAGTTAGCCATTGTTGTTTAAGTAGTAAAAATACAGGTATGTACCTACTGAATTTCTAAGCATCTCACACCTTAATTCCCAACAATAACAACAGAGGTTAGGCATGTAGGTACTAACTTTAGGCACTTAAATAGCTTTAAAATAAGAACCTAATCAGATTTTAAAAAAGGAGTTAAAAAAAAAAAAGTTAAAGCAATAAAACAAGATCTTAATAGCCTCGGGGGGGGGGGGAGGGAGAACTGGGGAGCAAATCAAAGAAGAAACCTTTGTATTTCTGTATTTCAAATCTTCCATCAGTTCCTCTCCATGTTTGTTCCACCTCAGAAATGGCAGTACTACAAGACTCTAGGATGGGTTTTCCTTTAACAGCCAGTCTGGATACAATTCCAGTTACTTTCAGGTACAATTTACAGCTCTTGTATCATTTTATTGTCTTGCATTGATTTACTTTATTAATAATTTGTGTTTAGGTTGTTCTCTAGTATTTTTCTAGCCAAATTCATACATCAGTGCTCTAGGCCTCATTTACACTTAGGATTCTGAGGATTTTCTCTAAAGTTTTGTCCAAGTTAGATGACAGGTTTTGGCTAAATTTCCCCCTTGTTTCTAACACTGCAGTTCCAGCATTAAGAGCAGCAAAAGCTTAAGGGAAAGTCTAACACAGTTAGCTGCACTCATGCTGCCAGTGTTACCAACCTGCTCAGGTTAAATGACATGGTAGTAAAATCCTGTTTTACAGGAGTGCTGCCACTTTGCCAAGAGCAATAGAAGGAAGGCCAGAACAACACTATGTCTGTACATACGAGTTTTCTTTTGGGGCCAGTACTTGCTCTTAGTTGTAATAACATTTTCACAGCTGAAACACGATCACTACAAGATTTGGCATTAAAAACCATTTTGCAGGGTTTCACAACTATTACATGCTGAAATCAACAGATCAGCTGATCCTGCTTCCTGAACCCCAGAGAAGGCCCCTACAGACCTAAGTGTATCCCAGTGGTCAGAACAGGCTGAACAGCCTGCAGGAAGAAAGTGCCTACCTAAAAAGCTTTCAACTCCTTAGCAGGATTCCTTAGCAAAGACATCCTTTTCTTTACAACTTACCAATGCCTCATTTCCCATGTCTTCTCTCTGGATCTTTTTTGTGTTTGCTTTTGAACCTGGTTCTTCAGCAAAGTCCTGGCATGATTCTTTTTTCCTTTTTTTCCTTTTTCCATCCCAGCGTATGTGGTTACTGTTGCACAATACCGCATCTACAGTGTCCCCTGTGACACATTCTGCTTGCTTCATTTCCCTCTTTTGGTTCTTTTTAGTGCTTTTGTGTAGTGTTATTTTTTGGCTTTTCGATGGACTGTCATTGTTTAACAAAACTTTTGAATCCTCCTCTTCCTGAATCTGCTTTTTCTTCTTGATGACTTCATGATTATCCTTTATATTCTTCCTGCTTTTCTTCCCAGAAAGCTCTTCTTCCTCAAACTCAACTTTTTGCTGTGCTGGGAGATGCTCATCAGGAACACTGTGACTGTAGTCTTTATCATCTGTATGTGTTAAGGAAGGAACATCTTTTCTTCTCTTCTTCTTCTTCTTGGTCTTTCTGCTACTTCCAGAGTTCTCAGCTGTGTCCTCTTCCTCTCTACTTGTCCGTGTAATTTCCAGGGCATTATTTCTTTGCCTTTTTCCAGAGTCACTTAATGCAGTGGGGCTATCAGGAACTCCATTGGTATTGTCCTTATTATCTGCTTGTGGTAAAAAGGAGTCAGGCTTATCCTTCTTCTTTCTCTTCTTTCTTTTCACATAATTCTCTCCATCATTATGGATAATACCTGTAAAAGGTTTTTCCTGTGAAATACATTTCTGTGTGGTTTCAGGAACTTTTTCAGCCTGTTCATGTTCACTGTCCTGGATGTCCTCTAATGAACAAGAAAAAATGCCTTTCTTCTTTTTTTTCTTGGTTACTTCACCATCCAATTCCAAATTCAAAGCGGTCTTCTTTCTGCTTTTTTTAAAAGCAAATCCATTTTCATTAGTACCATCTGCATGGTGATTTGAAAGCTCCACATCATGACTCTCATTATTCTCCAATGATAAGGAGGAATGACATTGGGCTTTTTTCTTCTTCTTTTTGACGATTTTAATTTGTTGCTCCGATTCTTCTTTAGGTTCTGAATCCAGATGGCCTTCTACATTCTCAAAGCTTTCTGAATGTGCTTTTTTCAGTAATCCAGAGCCAGCCTTCTTTTTCTTCTTTTTCTTATTATTTTTCAGTTCTAATTGGTCTAAATGCTCATCTTTTAATTTTTCCTTTTTCCTTCTCTTTGTTTTTGTCTCAAGCTCGTCATCATCCTCAATTTTAATGACATTTTGAACATCTTTCTCAGTTTTAGTGACAGTTTGGCTCCTACTCCTTTTAGCTTTTTTCCTTTTTTGTACAGGTTCCTCATGAACTTCTTTTCTTTTTATCATTCTAAAAACATGAAATGGAGATGTTAGTGCGCAGCTTCAGCAAGTCCCAGGCTATCTGGTCTCCCTTTACTCTGAAACCATTCTGTATCTCATCACTCTTTTTCCAGTTTCACAATCTGCTTTCTGTGATAGAGGGAACCAGAAGTGCTGCACTGAAAACAGTGTACCAGAGTGGCCACAGGGGGGTTTTTAATCTTCTTTATTGCTGTCCTTGTTTGTAACTTTTTATGTGTCTCTGCCAGCTGCTCAGCATGACCTTTTCACAGGTTTAGCTACCCTCTGAAACATCCTTCCTAAGTGACAAAGTGGATACTTACTATATGTGTGTGTGTATATATGTGTGTATATGTATGTGTGTGGAGCTAAGATGGTTTTCCACACATGTGTAACTTTTCACTTATTTAGCACTGAACTTTACATCCCCTTATTGCCCACTTGGCATTACAGGATCCTTTCAAGGCACCTTCGTAATTACCTTGAGTTTGCTTCTATTTGTGATTGCTTGTCCTGCTCTGTGTTTTGGGACACTCGTGCCCATGCACAGGTTATAGCAGACCTCTGTACCTGTGGTACCCACCCGGCGACAGGCCTGCCTTTGCTGAGGAACCTAGATGGTCTCCCATCCTTTAATCAGTAACTAACCCACAGGGCTCTTTAAGTGCCTCTTACACCCCTGCCGCAACCCTTCAAACCCCAAGTGCACCACAGCACACCGCGGTGACCCGCTCGCTGCCCCTCCCGCCCGGACTCGCCGGCTGGGCCCACCCAGCTCTCGCTGAACTCCGGCCCCCGTTAGATGGACGGGACGGGACGGGACGGGACGGAGCGCGGAAGCCCCCAGTATGAGCACACACCATTCCCCGCCGCCGCTTACCTGCCGCCGCTTACCTGCCGCGGCCACGTGCGGCTCCCGCCGACCCGGAAGAGGAACGTGGCCACGCCCGCCCCGCCGAGGGGACTGGCGGCGCGGTTGCCGTGGCAACACAACACAACACAAGGCGGCATGGCGGAGGGCGGGCGGGAGCCGAGCCTCTGGGAGCGCGTGTGCGCAGGTGGGAACCGGGAGGGGCGGCGGGCGGCCTGGCCCTGAGGCCGCTGCGGGCACCGGGAGGGTAGGCCCGGCTCTGACCCCGCGGGCAGAGCCCCGCAGCCTCGGTCACTCGGGGCTCTTCCAGGCTGCTCCTCGCTGCTGCAGCGTTCAAGGGGGCTCCTGCCCGGCTCTTGGCGGAGAGGCGCTCGGTCTCAGCAGCGCTGTGGAGCCGGCGGAGGGGCTGGCTGTACCTGCTAAAACCCGCCCTTCGCACCGCTGAGGGCAAGCCCCGAAGCGGTGCCGCTCCCAAGCGTTTTGTGCCTTCTTATTGTCATCAGCTTCTGACAGAAACATACCTCTGTGCGTGTTTCCGCTGCCAGCAAGGCCAGAAGTACCCAGCTTACTGCAGTAGTGTCGTGGCCTGTGGCTTACCACACGGCCGTCTGCGCCCTGCGTGGAGGCAGCTTTTGGGGTTATCCCTGCAAAGGAGTTAGCCTGTTGCCTTGGGGAAGTAGAGAGGTGACGATGTTACTGCTGCTCACGGCAAGTTCAGTGAATACACATCTTCTGTTACCAGAGCCTGATTCTAATAGCAAAAGTCTTGGCCTTTTCCCAAAGTCAGAGTGCTGAGGCTGGTCAGGAAGCTGAGAGACCAGCAGCGTGGCTTTGTGGTGGGCTTCTCTTCAGTTAGTACTTTATAATGCCTTAAAAGTAGGTATTTTGTGTTAAAATGGCAATTTGAAATGTAGGGATAAACTTTCTTATTCTAATATAACTCATCTAAGCCATGTGTAGTATGTGTGGAAGTGGCAAAGCCAGTAAATCTGATTATAATGGTAGAATGGTAAACCTGGGGTTGGCTGCAGGAGTTTCCTATATCGTGGAATCTGTAAGATTTTTTCATATCCATTCCATTGTCCTCATCTTTTAATTTTATTCCCCTGGTTTTGCCTTTTGTGTTTTGATTGATTGGTTGGTTGTTTTGAAGGTGGCGACTAGTGCTTAGTAATGTCCTGGAGATTTAATTGCTTATAGAGGAATACAAATTAAAAAGCAGTATTATACACTGGTAAAACAATGGCTAATACTATGCAAGCATCTGCATTTAACTTACATTAAAATATTCTAAATTGTTAATTTCATTAAAGATCTCTTTCCATTAAAGAATTATGTTATCACTGAGAACCTGGGACTTGACTTAAACCGCAGACAAGAGGCTCTGAAGTTCTCACTTGTTTGAAAACATTAGAATTCATGTTAAACATTTGTGGTATATTAAATTTTACTGTTTAAATCTGGACTAGGTATCTTCAGAAAGTAATCACAGAATCATAGAATGGCAGCATCAACTACCAGAGGGTTATGGTTAACCCATCAGAGGGTTAAAGGAGGACCCTAAATATAGAATCATAATGTTTGTTTAAGAGAAAAATAGTTACGTTTTTAAAGTCTTCTGAATAAATGTCATACTTCTTTTTACTTCCAGAGTATGAAGCAGAGCAGCCTCAATTTCCAGATGGTCCTGAATCAAAACAAGAATATGTGAGTATCGTTCAATAAAAAAAATCTGTATAGGGCTGGTTTTAGAAATATTTTGCATAACTAAATGGAAAAATTAGATACCCACAGAGTACACTCATTCATAAAATGAAAAAAAGAAATCCCAAAACCCAACGATATTTTGCAAACAACTTCTGTGACTCAACAAACGTAATATTCCAAATAATTACTTTATTTAAAACAATTTGGGTGGTGTTACACTAAAATTAGATTGGCAGCTGTGTTTGGTTTGTACATCTTGCTGTCTTTTAGCTGCAACTGTCTGCTTCACAGGCAGGGCTCTGAAGCATGCCAGGAGCTCCTTTGGGTGGTGGTTGAGCAGAGCGAGTACTGCAATACACAGGAGAGGGGAGCAAGCACAGTGACAGTTGCTGCCCAGTGTCACATATATGATAGGTCACATAGACGTGGCCATTGAAATTAGTGGATTAAACCTGGCCAAAGTGGTTTGGAGTCTAATTTTGATAAATTCAGTCTAGGAAGATTTGTGTGGCAGACATAAAAATTTAAGAAAGACAAACCAGTTTAAACCTTTGGCCCCAAAAGTTCTAGGAGCAGCAAGATCAATTCTTTTGGGCATCTCATACAAAGTTAGCTTTCATTTATATTAGGCATTTCTGTAGGTGTGTTATCTTATTATTCTTTGTTATTTTAAAGCTATTTTAAGACATGGTTTAAAATGTCTGACAGTGGGTCTGTTTAGACTTACCCTGTCTCCCCAGATGAAACTGGTTTCATTCCAGGCTGTTATTAAATTTGAAAACTGAACTCTGCTTGAGGCATTAGTCTGGGCAAAATATATTGATATATTTGAGCATTGAAAATGAAATAATATACCTTGTTACACTGATTTTTTGTATCCTGCATGTATTAAAAAGGAATCTCTGCAGTTATTGACATACAGTATATTACAAGTGTAGTGGCCTGATCCCACCACCTGCTTTGCAGTAGCTCATAAATCCAGTTGAATTTAAGGTGAAACTATTCAGGTGATGTAATTTTCATAACATATTTTCATAGCAAACTCTAATGTGGTGCATTCTTGGGGATAAAAGGCTGTACCTGTCTTTCTGTAACAGGTGTAGCTCAGTGTCTCTTAAGAGTATTTTGCAGGCTCAGTTCCTGCACTCCTAAAAACATCCATAAAATTGTGGGCTATCTTTTTTTTTGATATCCATAAATGTCCCTGTGTGGGGAAACTAAGGATTTGCTCTGAATTTGTCTATGCTTTGTTTAGAAGGAATGTTTATTTTCTTTATAAGGCAAGTGTCAGGACTCCTGAACCGTACAGAAACATAAATTAATTTTCAAAGAATTACTATTTCTTGCAAAGACTAAAATATTTTTTAATTGTGATATCTCACCTTATTCTCTTAGAAGCATTCATATACCTTCTGTTAGGTTTGGATGTTTTTATTGTGCTGGAGCTGTGCAGAATTTTTTAAAGCTTAATTCTTTCTTTGAAAGTACTCATAAAATAATGAAACAATTTAATATTGAATTAGAAATTATATTTTTTTAACTGACTTTATACTTTTTCATGTTGAATTGGATTTTTTTTTTACAGTCTTCATTGGGATATTTATATAGGTTACATTTATCTTGAACAGGTGTCTTTGGAAGCAGGAATAGCACAGCCATTATGTATGGAACAATTTTTTTCAGCCCCTGCAGCTGATACTTCTGTCCAACAGTTGCTTTCCACACCCAAGGCAGATCCCCTTCCAGAACCACCTGATGCAAAAACGTGTAAGTAGGAGTATGTTATCTTGAACCCTGCTGTGATTATTTTTCTTGCATTTGGCAAGGGTTTGTCATTTGTTATATTTAAAGTGTTAACAGCTACACCACCTTAAGTGGAATTTGCATGATCAGACCCCTGGTCTGTAAACAGGGAGCCAGCTTGGTCAATTGATCAATGGAAGAAAGCTCAACTGGTGCATCATGAGTCAGTAGCATTGTCTAGCTGTTAAGATAGGTTCTGTCTCTTCCAAATAAGTGACATTTTATTTAACCACTTAAATCAGAGAAAGGCAAGCATTTTCTCCTCTAATTTAATAATGCAAAACTAGGATCAATAAATTAAATAGACAATTGAGTTTGAAAACTGCTTTCAAAATATCATCTTTGCCTATCTGCTTACAAATTAGAATGGAGACAGCTGTAAAGTTTTGTTCCTCCATTTTTATCTATTTCTATACTTTATAAAATTTACCAAGTACCAATGTGTTTTTATTATGCATTTTAGCCTGCCTGTTTGGCTCTTCCTCTCTTCCATTCATTTGTGACCATTAGGAATTTAGGTTGCTAATCAGAAGCAGTATTACCCTTGGCTATTATACATATATAGTGTCCTTCCAGTTATGAATATTTTTTGGCAGGACATGAACCAATTAAAGGTATAAAGCAGAGAATAAATTTTCAGCTGTGTTGCCAGAAGAGAACACTTCTATGACTTAAATCTTTACTGACCACACCATACTTACTGAATGGCAGGCAGTCTGCCTTTAAATCAAGGACAGTCCTTTAGCCAGTAAGCCATGCCTGCTTGTCTAGGATCCTAACAGGTTTTGGTTTGTTCATCTTTCTGAAGGAAGTGCTCTTATGCCTTCTTATAGGGTCAGGCTCCCTGTTCACTCTGGCCCAGGGGTTCAGTGCCTTCATAGAAAGGGGTAGAAGGCTCCCCACTTCACCCAGTTTATGATGCTGAAAGGTCCTGTTAGGGAAGATGGAGATGTGGGACAAAGCTGAGAAGGAAAGGGCGCTTGAGTCTCTAAATTGAGCAAACATGTAGCTATTAGGCTATATGTAGAGGAGCATGGGCCATAGCACTGCTAGGTTTTGGTGATTAAAAAAACTGGAACTGCTTGCTTCTGCATGGAACTCCATGTTGCCAGTGTGTGTGAGGACGTGAGGTATGGCAAGCAGTAAGGGCGGTGCAGTGAAACATGAGAGACATGCAAACTGAGACATCCCTCTCAAGTTAGGAAATCTGGGTGCATGGAGGCACATTCAAATTTCTGAAGGATCTGGCAAGTAGGAAGTAATTATAAGAAAGAAATCACAGCACCACTGAAACATAACCTTGATTTTTTTCCTCTATCTAGAAATGGAGTTTTATGACCAACTCTGTTACTGCACATTGTGAAGGGCATGAGGATAGATACCAAAAGTGGTCTACCTGTAACAGCACTGAGTTCAGGGCATGCCAATTTACTTTTCTTTCTGTCAGGGTAAATTAAACTGCTTCTGGTGTCTGAGCTTCCTCGTTTAAAACTAAGTCTGACATCTCTAAGGAGCACTGTAGTTTGCAGTGTTGATGCACCTTTAGTATGAAATTTACTCAAGTTTATGTTGCCTTGGCAGAAGAGAAGACAGATTTGTGTCTGTATTTGCACTGAATTAACCTGTTTAGTTTAAGCTGTGGTGGTACTGATAAAATAACTGCTATTTAGTTTATGATATCTAATGTTTGCTTTTTTGTGAAATCTGCATGCTTACTTGTAAGTAAAGGCTGTGCTGTTTTCTCAGGTCCTCCTCGAGAATACTTAGAGTATTACATATTTCCAGTACTCTTACCCGGAATGGTGGAACTCTTGCATCGAGCACAGGAGGAAAAGTGTTTTGAGGTTTGTTTTCAGTCCAAATCACTGGCAGGAAATCAGAGTTTTATTTCACGGGCTGTATTTCTTTATTTGTTTTTTGCAAGAAAACCAATCACAATAATACGAAATAACATAGCATGAGGTGTTTTGGATCTGGTCTTGGATATTGTTTTCTCCAGTGATTTAGAATAGTTTGCATATTGCACTCGATTGTTGCGATGATGTCTGACTCCCAACCAATCCTCCTTAAATATGCAGTTGTATCAGCCTCAATAGTGCTGTATTCTAAAGAAAGAGGTTTCTTTTCAGGTTCATACACTCTATTGAGGGTGAGATAAAGAATTTGAATTTTATTTCAATACTCAAATATTTTTGCTGGTCTGACATCCTAACAAAAGTGTATTTTGTTCTTTAGCTGTTTAACATTCAGCGTGAATTCCATTTATTTGGAAGCCAGGGTTTTCAGCATTAATGAGCTTATAAAATTGTACATTTTAAAAATAATTTTGTTACGTATATTTTTATACATTTGGTTTCAGTGTTTGTGTGCATAATTATGTCTGGAGAGACATTCCTCACTGTATATAGGGAATGCTTAAAAAAGCATTAGAACTGGTGCAAAATAAAGCTCATTGCATCACCAAAGCCTAACTTGAAAACCACCAGGAATAGATTAGATACTGGGAGTTTTGGGGTCTTCCATCATTTCTGCTATTTTCTTCAACCATAGAAGCAATTATTTTTTTGCTTCTTTCCTACTTTCTGCCTTTCATCCACACTTTCCAATGTAAAACCTCTCCATATTTTTATGCCTGTGGCAGAGCCTCCTCTTACTTGCAGCTTCGTAATATAAAAAAGCAATTCATATAAATGCAAATGCAAATTTCTCCCTTTTTCTACATAATACACATCTGAGAAATACAGTCTGTGCTCTTGAGGTTATTGATTAAAAAGATAGTGAAGTGAGGAGGACTTTGTAACTATGGTTTATTAATCATCTTAAGCCCTGATCTGTATATATGGTAATAGACATTATGTGTGCTGTTTGCTGCTGATCTGTACATGCCTCACGCAGCCAACATACACAAAGTTTACCACACTTGAACAGGCACCCCAATCCAGCATTTTAAATCCAGATTGATACATTTAATAACAATAAGTTATTTCAGTTTTTGCGTAGATCGTCACAAGGTTTGTGTGTCTATGAACTGGTTCATTGATAGATGTGTGTGTATGTATTTATAATCTGTAATTAATACAGGTGAAATAGGAAAATGGTTCATTTACATGTCGTTATGGCATGACACCTCTATGCATCATTCCTGCCATCACATTTACATTACCTAGCCAAGAACAGTTCAAACATGTATATTATTCATCACACTTGTAATGAAATCTACATTGATTAGGGTTTTGGGTTTTTTTTTAAAGGAAGCACATATCCTTTAACAGGGAAAAGACGTGTCTTACAGCTGGCTTAAAGTACAGTCCTTGATAGATGATCCGTATTTCTGGAGGCAATAAACCAGCACTTAATACAAAAACGCCGGAATTCTTAGAAATACTTCAGTTTCAACCTCAGGACAAATCTTAGGTTACTTTGTCTATTTTTAATCTGAGCAATTTTGCAGAGCTTCAGTAGTACATAGATCAGAAAGTACCTGTTCTCAAAACGGATTTTCTATGGGTCTGTGCTGCTTCATAGTAAGCTAGTAAACCCAATTACTTTTTAATGTATGGAAATGTCATGAAAGTGAGCATATCTGTTAAAAAAGAGTGATTTTTGTCATTACATGACGGGATGTCCTGCTGTTTAGTTTTAGTTTAGGAAAGCAAGCTTATGTCAGATGATCATTTTCCATTGTGACATCATTTCTTCCTCCTTTTGAACAATAACTAGTAAAACAATGGCTCTTTGTGCTTGCCATATAACTGAATATTTATGTTCTTTTCCATTACTGTCCAGGTGCTGGTACTTGGACAGTCTATTTCCTGATCTGACTTAAATACGTCTTTTCAAATTGCACTTTTGTTTTGTAAGAAATGTTTTGTTCCATGTGGATTTGGATTAAAAAACATGCTATGGTTTGTATTTAAATGGTTAGCGCAATAACTGGAACAGATTTAGGATCAAAAATAGAGCTCTTAGAAACCCAGAGAGTTAGTGACAGGGAGAAAGGATCTTGTGGTAACACCAGAATATAGCTTCAAAAACCAGGAGAACAAAGAGTAGAGGAATTTGTGGAACTCATGAGAGAGCAGGAGAGGAGCATGATTAATTGTGATTAAGCTACGTGCAGCCGTGAAGGAGGGAACAGAATACTGGGTTTGAATTTTGGCTAGACATGCATCATTAAAGCTTGTGAAGGGCAGCTGTACAGCATAAACCGGTGGAAGACGAATGGAAGGAGCACTGGAAGAAAGGGAGGAATAATGGAACTGACTGCAGTCAGCACTGAATGAGCCTGTGAGAAGAGAGGGCTCGTTGTGGTGGAGCCTGCAGAGCGGGTGTTCGATGAGGCACACCACAGGTTCCCGTGGGGTGAAGGGGAAGGAGGCTGACTCAGCGGCGGGGGGTCGGAAGCCGTGCGCACCCACCGCCCGCCGGAGCGCCATCTTGAGGCGGCAGTGCAGGAGGGGCGGCGTAGCTCCCGCGGGGCGTTTAGCCTTCAGCCAAATCCAGAGGCTGTTAATGTCTGCCCAGCCGCTGTAGGGAGAGCTCACAGGTACAAGCATGTGGGAAGTATTTTCTTCCATGAAAGAACGACAGCCACTCTCTAGATGTGCGCCCTGCGGCCGTCCGGCTACCGGCACCGGGAGCAGACTAGGGCAGCCCGGTCCCAGGGACAGGGAGCCCAGCCACGGACGGAACTGTCACGGGCAGGACTCATCCCACGGGCTGCTGCCACCTGGCAAAGAGTGCTTCCATGCTGTGTTCTTCCTCCCTGCTCGATGTTCATTCCCGTGCCCCTGCTTAGGAAAGCTGTTGGGACTTCTAATTTGTGAATGCAGGAATTCAGGTTCCAAAGGTTTGGAAGAAAGTGTGGGCAGCCTCTTCGGCAGATGTAGGTGTCTTACTGCATATTTATGTCCTTTTATAACGGTTTTGATGAGCTCAACCTATACAAGCTTATGTCTTAGCATAAAGCAATGCTGTTTGACAAAAAGCAGCAGTGATGCACCTGCAACTCAAATCTAGAGTGGCCTCAGTAACGGCCTTCTGTACCTCTGCGTGCCATGAACAGGCAACAAATAAAACCAGCAAACACGGAGCTCAGTGTTTGTTATTTCCAGCCCAGCACCTACACTTTCTAATTCTTACACTGGATAATTGTTTTTAGTTCTAAGTTCCACTGATTTTCTCATCTTCCTGTTGCTAAGTAAGGGAGTACCAGGACCAAGCCGTCCGCAGGTGATTTTAAGAGCAGAGGTATCTTCCATGGGATCAGGTCCCGGAGTCACTGTCAGCAGCCTTTGAAATGAAACACCTCTGTGGTGCAAGGGGCAGCTCAGCTTCCTGAACCATTCACCCTTCCCTATCTACACAGTTAGCAGTTTTGCACAGTGTATTATTTTATCTGGAGTACTGCATCCGGCTCTGGGGCCCCCAACATAAGAAGGGCATGGTCCTGTTGGAGCCAGTCCAGAGGAAGCCACAAAGGTGCTCAGAGAGCTGGAGCACCTCTGCTATGGAGACAGGCTGGGAGAGCTGGGGTTGTTCAGCCTGGAAAAGAGAAGGCTCTGGGAGACCTTGTAGCAGCTTCCAGGCCTAAAAGGGGGGGCTACAAGAAATCTGGAGAGGGACTTCTTACTAGGGCATGTAGTTACAGGACCAGGGGTAATGGCTTCAAACTGGAAGAGGGTAGAACTACCTTAAACAGTAAGAAGAAATTCTTTATTCTGAGGGTGCTGAGGCACTGGCACAGGTTGCCCAGAGAAGCTGTGGCAGCCCCATCCCTGGCAGTGTTTAAGGCCAGGTTAGATGGGGCTTGGAGCAACCTGTTCTGGAAGGTGCCCCTGCCTGTGGCAGGGGGTTGGAACTGGATGAGCTTTAAGGTCCCTTCCAACCCAAACAATTCTATCATTCTATGATAAAAATTACATTGGAGAGTTGTTTGAAATTGTGGGATAGGAGATCAGATCATGGGACAAACAGAAGAATTCAAGGAAGAGATCAGAAAAGATGCACCTGTGTTTGAAAAGGAAGAATTATAGAATCAGATGGGAAAGTCAGGAAACGAAGATGGTTGTGCTGAAAGTAGTCATTTGTTTCGGAAAGAAAGCTGCAAGATCTTATTTGGAAGGCTATATAGAACAACTATAACTTATTTGGAAGCTATAGCAACTTAAACATTTAATTTAAAATAGGCTGTCTTGCGTTACGTAGTCCATATGAGAAATCTGGAAAGCAAACTCCTAGAAAAACCACCAGCTGCTAGATACATTTGCAGACTTCAAACTGACATAAATATGAGAACACCCTGCAAAAGCTTAGTTTTTAAATTAGAGATGAAAGGAACCTATTAGCTTGCCCAGTGTATTCCCTTGCTGATTTTTCTTTTCCCTAGCATAACTTCTCCTGTGCTTTATCCTATCTGCTGTCAAATGTCTCTGGGGGAAAGACAATTTTCTTAAATCTTTTCTCTCATGAGAACTGGCTAATGCATTCATTTTTCAGCATTAAAATTGAACAATGTTTAAATGTTTTTATTAGCATAATTCTGACTTTTCTTTCTAGCTCGCAATCACAGAAGGAAAGTGCTGTACCAGACGCTGTAATGGAATATATTATATTTAAAAGTGTGATAGATCAGGGAAAGTGAATGGAAGAAGGTTTTCTGATGACTTTACCAGCTTCTGATCACCAGTATTTTGCATGCTTATTACCAAGCACATCATATTTAAACTGAAAAATGGGAAATTAATTCTGAATATAAATAGTTTATAAACACATCTTCAGGTTAACAATGCACATTGTGCAGATATTTCCTGTGTTTATCCTGATTCATGCAGCATAGGAGGAATGTGTCAAAGGCAGGTCAATTTATGTCATTTTTTCCCTTCTATTAATGTTGCCTGCTGTGCAACTAATGATTTAATTCACAGCAAAGGGAACTGTTTCCTGGCAAAAGAAATAACAAAGTAAAAAAATACTCAGCTTGACCAAATTCCTCCTTGATAAGTTCACTGGATCTAACAAGGATAAGGCAAGATAAATTTGATTCCTTTGGTGATGGCTGTTTTGACAAGACTGTTCCGATTGTGTTTTCCCATTGCAAAGGAAAAGCAATTTACTTAGATTAAATCACAACTGCAAGATTAAATTGAATTTTGTTGTCAAAGTATAGAATTTATTCTCTGAAACAATTCACTAAGTGATGGCACACAGTTTCATACTGTGATTGCAAATAGCTGTACAGTGATTGTAAAACTCTGCTGTTAGTTTTCAGATTCTGTTCAAGTCAAAATTTGTCAATTTAACATCTAAAATGACCAGTAGAAAGCTCTCTAGTGAAGTTGTTGCTCTCTTAAAGCTCAGGTGTTTGGCTTCTCAGAACAGTTTCTCTGGTATTAGCAGGACAAGTGTGAAAATGCCTTAAGGAGATGTGTTTCATCCCATAGCTACATGACTACCCCGTGTTCTTCACTGTGTAGTCAGCACCCTCACATAATGTTCCTCTTCCACTTTTCCTGTAGCTGGAATAATTGATTGACCCCCAAATAATGCTATTTGTTAATATCCCAAATGGAAAGAATTATGCTATGTACAGCACTTTTTTTCTACCTCTCTGTTCACATCCCCCAGTTCTTTTTACATCATATTCTTGTAGCACAGGGAGAGACACGGCGAGGATAATGCATAGAATAAAGTCATTCGTCATGCATTACATTTCCAATTACATGTTTAGGATATTTTTCTTAGCAGGTGGTAATAGTACCTTCATTTCTTACATTTTAATCAAGACTCCAGCCTTTTTCATGACATTTAGCAGTTTCACAAGTGTGTTTGAACAGTGTGAATTGTTTTCCTAAAAAGTAGTAATTGCAGTTGAATCCCCTATTTGACAGGGTAAGTATTACCTTCTGCAAGGGAGCTAGAGCTTTCTCTTAGCTACTTTGATAAAGCACTCAGCCTCTCTGTTCTGTGGGGGCTTAATGGCTTCCAGTGTTGACTCTCTGGCTGTGCACATCCATAACATATCTCATGTAAGAGAGATTCAGAAGGTGCTAGTTAAGGTCTTCTGTTATTCCAACCAGAAATCTGCATTATCTTCTCCACATCATGGTTACTCTGGTTTGTGATAAGCAGAATAAGCACCAGTACTTATTTATACATTCAGTCTGTAAAGATGGAATGTGAAAAGGAAATCTGAGAAAAGGAAGATCCTAATTAATTCTGTATTGATCAAAATCAGTGATTTGAATTTCGAACTCAAAATGTGTTTTACAGTGTGCAGTGCTGTCCAGCTTAACAGGTACTGGCTTCAGGAGTCGCTAAGGATAACCCATTGCATAGCATTTTGCAAAATCAATCCACCACAATCTTCATAGTAGTAAAGAAGTCTTAGAACTGAAAGCAAAGGACACAGATGTTTAGCTCCAAAGCTCCAGGTTTTGAACTTTTTTACCTGATTCTCTGTAATGTCAGTGGTACCCATGGTTGTGGATATATATATATGACTTGTTGCGGCCTTCCTTTCTGGGTTACCCAACAGATGATTTTATCTGAGCAACCATATAACACTCTCTGTGTGTCTTACTTATGACACCTTCAAGCTGGTTCCATGCAGGAGAAAACAATATTCCATCAATGTTCTTTCTGTGCCTTGGAAGCAATGAAGTAGTTGAAGTATGATAATAGAACTTTGAACAAAATGGCAAGTAATTTACAATGTGTTTTCGTATATGAGTTCTGTGAATTTCCTTGCAATGAGATTGCCACTTGGAAAGCACACTGGAGATATTTGTTACAGCTACACTGCAGCAAATGTCAAGATAGTGTATGTAGAACTTTCTCAGTCATTTTTGACTTGACTTGAAAGCGTTCCACAGAATTTCTAAAGGTTTGGCTGAGCCACTGACTGTTGGCAGTAGCAATATGAAAGTAGACAGAGTAATGTACTGCATATTTGATTTAATAAAAGCAGTCAATTTAGCTTCTGTTCCTCTCCACTAGTAAAAACATGTGTCCAGTCCAAGGATAATAAATAATTTGAAACTATCTTTTATCTTTAGAGAATAAGGACCAAATTTATTGCCTGTGATTTCCTCACCGAGTGGTTATACAAGTAAGTTAATCATGGCTTTTACTATTAATTATGCTTGATGAATCAAAGGCATTAATTTGCCAATCGAATAGTTGAAATCTAAATTAATGAGTTGTTTTCTTCTCTTTTCTTTCTTTCTTTTTTTTTTTTTTTAATCTTTATCAGCAATAACCCAAAGAGGAAAGATGAGTCATTCACAGAATTCTTTTCCATTCCTTTTGTTAAGGACTGGCTAAAGGACCAGTAAGTTATCACAATACTCAGAGTAACCTTTCTCCTTTTATTCTTTTTCCCCTGGTAGTTCAAAAAAGTAATAGAGCTTTGATGTTACAGTTGTGCCCTCTAATTGCCCCTTTACTGTGTGAAACAAAGAAATATGTGATACTTTCTAACTTGGTAGTGTATTAGTTACAAGGTGTTTTGTATCAGAATTGTTCACAGATAAATTAGCTTAAAATTCCTAAATATTTTAACTGTAGATTGGATAGCATTTGAATAGTCTGGTAGTATTATGAATATCTTTGTACTAAGGAACAAAGCTGTGTTTTCAATGCTGCTTCCTACTATGGAAGTCTTTGAGGATATGCAGTCTAGAAATTCTTCCTCTAACTGTAAGCAGCTGTTTTAAAAATACCTGCAGCAATCCTTGGTGTCAGGGTACGTTTCTGCAGACATTTATGACTCTGCATCTGAGAAATGAACTTGTTTTGACAGCCTCAATCAATATTCTTCATTATTCCTGTGGAATCAAACTACACAGTAGTTTTGAAAGAAATGTCACTGTCTTTGAGACTGCATTTTGTTTTAAAATGGAATTGTTGTATCAGAAGTAAAGTAATAGTCCACAGTGAGAGGATAAGAAAACTACAGAGGCCAGATTTAAAGGAAATTTTGTGGTTTGGAAACTGATTATGAACTGTGGTGAGGTTGTCATACTCATTTCTTAAGCATACTGAAGAACCACCAGTAAGGCAGTTTTGATACCACTGAATTGAATTAATATTTGTACCTAAGATAAATCAAAGATAGCAGTTTTATAAGCATTTCTTTTGGAAGTAAAGCTGACCAAAATCTCTCCTTGTTCTCCGCTGTTCTTCACCCCAACCTGCTTGTAGGCAACCTAATCTGTGTGGTTGGATGCTTGGTTATTCTGATCAGGGGCCTACTCTGAGTTAGAAATCTCTCTGCCAAAACATGTGAGGAGGTTTTGTGTAGCTATTTGAAATATAGATAATTTCTCCACTCTGGTTCACCTGGGAGCATGACAAACCTTTGTATTGGCACAATGAAGGATTAAAATGAAGGGCTCAAGGCAAGGTGAAGAGAACAAATGGGCTGCTAAAATATAGAGGTGGTGGAAGGAATTGCTTAAGTCAGCTTTGCCAACAAGAGAAATACACTGTGGAATCACAGCCTGAATGACTCATAGCTTCTGTTAGTACTTGTGCTCCTAAATAACGTAGTGACAGCTCCACAAGGACACTGAAGTGTCAAAGTCCTGCTTAAATTGATACACACTTGATCTCAAATCCTCTAAACAAATAGACCTTTAAAAATAACAGTTAAAATTATTAAAACCTAACTTTTTATGCAAATACCTTAAAATTACAGATTTCTTAACAAATATTGCTTATAAAGTAAGCAATTAGAGCATATGAAAGCTTGCAATACTAAATAACAATAAAAATGGAGAATTCATCATTATGTCCTCCTGGATAGGTCATAAATAGTTCATTATTGTATCTTCCCAAGTATCACATTTAAAATGCAATTAATTTTATGCTTTTTTATTGTAATTTCCATTTTTATTTGTAAAAGAGTTTGCTTTTTTTAACAGGATTTATGAATATGTAAGAGACAATCTGCTAAAGTGTGCTGGTCAAGTTTTGATGGGAAACAGCCTTATTCCAACTGTTTAGATGGTACAATTAAGAAAAAGAAGTAAAAAGCATTGCTGCAATTTTAGGGGGTAAATTCTTATGTTGCTTTTTCAGTTACTTGTCTAAATTTGGAAAGCATTCTGTGAAGTCTGTTAAATAGGAATACATTTCTAGGCTGTGTTAAAATAGGGTGTATCAGAGCAAAGTGGTCTTCATGCTTGAAAAAAAAGGAAAGAAAACAAAACCATAAAAACTCCAGAGAAATAATTTTTTGTTCTATCAGAGATGCAGCTTTTTTTTTTTTTAATATATTCCATACTTGAGTATGACTTTTTTTGGCTCTCCTCCAGTGCCTCCAGTTTTTTCTTTGAAGCTCAGTTCTTCTTTTTTAAAGAATAATCAAAGCCACAGTCTTATGACCCCCACTCTCTGTATTCTGTGTTTCTAAATGAGATCTTGCAGCCTACTTTTCCTTTATAAGGACCCAAATGCTGTATTGGTTTCCAGAATTTGAAATGCAAACATGGCACCTTCAGAAGCTGGGTACTGTAGGTGAAGGAGCTTGTAAAATTTGGATTTCCTTCCAGCTTTAGTATTTATAGTAATTGCTGTGCCATCAGTAAATAAAAGCCTCAGTAGAGTTAACCTTGTTTCTACTGGGATCTGTGAGCTACCAGCAGTACTGACAAAATTTTATATCCCTTGGGAATTCTTGATTCATGAAGCAGATTTCAAAAGCACTGGAAGGAGCAGCCTCAACACTGACTGGTAATCTACATTTCACATCCAGGAGAACACATTCCTCTTGTCTAAAAGGGCAGCTGGACCTTTCAGAGGACAAGAAACTGGAGTTTTAACAAGAAACTAACAAAAGTTTTTTTTGGGAACTGGCTGAGGTACATACTGGTGTCCCTATTCCTACATTGAAGCCTGCTGATAACAGCCAAGCAAAGTAAATGGAATTAGAGCCTTGAATGTTTTGTACTTCTATAAATATGCTAATGAGCAACACAGTTGCCTTTTGTCAGCATTTTCCAGTGGTGTTTCTGGTTGAATAGCGGTGAAGCTCAGCACAAGTAACCAAGCTCTATGTACTGAACCAGGAACTGGGAAAGAGTGACCTGTGTTTATGCCCTGATTCCCCTTAAATTTTACTTTTCTGGCATAGTTAGACTGAGTCTTTGTTCTGAGTATCACAGGAGTATCACTATCCAACTTTCTTTAGCGTATTAATGAAAGAAATATGAAGAAAACAATAAAAATAGTTCCACTGCTCTGAAAGAGAGTGATAGCATAAAAGTCTACTGTCATGTGAATTTACTAATATGGCAGAATTATTCAAGCTCACCTTCAAACCTTTACAGTCAGTGAAAGAGAAGGGTGTACGGATCTGTGTTAGGAATAAGTATAAGTATTTTCCTAGCTGTTGAAGATCACTTTTTGAACGCATATTTAACAGGGTTACAGGAACTGAAGGTGTGCTTTATAAATAAACATTCATACACCAAAATTGTTTAGCTGTATTTTCTCATTTTCTGTATAGAGGTATTCACTTGATATTCAGTTCCGAAGGACACATTTCCTGGTTTATTCTATGTCTGCTAAAACAAATGTACAGATACAGAGAAAATAAAATTATCATGGCTTTAATGAAGTGGACAGCTATAATAAATATATATATATGTATATATAAAGTTATTAATCAATCTCACATAGTGGCTTTTTGCCAAATATCTGTATATTCACATATATACATTGATCCCCCTCCCATTTTAATTAGGGAAGTCTGCTGGTCTCAGCTGCCTTTACAGTTGACTTCATTGTCAGTTCTCAGATGGCCAATAGGGGTAATTTTGCATGGATGACTGCTTGCTTTCTTTCCATAATGTGCTCAGTTTTTACAGGCTTTGCTTTCTGCACACTGCTATATTTCACTAGTTTGTCTCTAAACCAACCATGTTCAGAGTATATTTGATTCACATTATATTTTTTCTTTCATTGTCTTCAATAATTTGAGCTTTAATTTCCTTTTTTCTTTTTTTTTCTTTGGGGGGATGGTATGCAGCACATTTAGTTGTAATAACAGAAAAATCCAACAAATATGTCTGTATGGATGTTAGTCTATGTGGATCTAAGAAGTATCGCTATTACAGCTGTACTGCAGGATTTGAGTTAATGAAGGAGAAATTTTTGACTTAAAACCCTACCCTACAACTGTGTGTTGGAAAATTGCATGAAGTTGTTGTATAAAATATTTATATTGTGTAATGGTTTTATGTGGTTGAGGTTCTGCGGCTCAAATCCTGAGGCAGTGATGAAACTTGCCTTAATTTATGTAAAGATTGTCCAAATAGCAATGAAAAAATTGAAAATGTATTAGTGGCTTGTGCCATCTTCTTAATGTTGCTGTTAGAGCATTAAGTGGAGGTTATTCCTTCTGCTGTTAGCTTTTCATGTTTACAGGATACAAGGTCTGATCTAAAGTACACAAACATAGATGGAAATTTGCCCGTTAACATGAGTGGACTTTGGAATAGTTCCATGTTTGATTTCCTTCAGTCCAAGACCACAAACACTCCTACAGACTATATCAATACTGGTACTCCAAAAGAGAAAATTAAGGCAACACACTGTGACTTGCAAAATATGTAGCATTATGCAAGGAGGGCTGAGTTTTATCATTAAAATGGGTAAGTTCTCCCAAAGTAAAAGGCATATTGAGAGGCAAGAAAGCTACTATAATTTTCAGACAGAAATGAAGACAGAAGATTCTTGCTCTGCCACTGTCTTGGCATTTTCTCACTACTAAGACTTCTTGCTGTGCTTCCTCTAATTCCTCTCACATTCTTGTTATCGTTCACTGTTCTGCCTCATTCCCCTGTCTGTTATATGACTCTGCCTCCCCAGTTAGCAGCTTTCTCATGTTAATTCCGCACTATCTTTTCTTTTTACCACGTCTCCATTATGAAAAGGTAAATAAGTGTTTTAGAGGTTTGTATGTGTTAACAGCTGTATGCATGTTATCACTATGACCACTTTGATGATACTTCTGAGTGTAATTTTACGGTTTTGTTATACTGTAATATTTTGAATCTTCAGGGGGAGGGGGAAGATTTGTGGATTTTGTTTGCTGGTGTGGGTTTGGTGTTTTTTTGTTAAGAATTGTGGTTGAGACATAAATGAAACAGGAAATTTGATTGTTCATAACATACAGCCTTTGTATGTGAGGATACTCAAAGTACAGAAGCGTTTTCAAAAGACCAGCAAAGCAGTTTAGGATGCAGAGAATGGAGGGGGCAAAAGGGGTCAAAGTGCATTTTTTTTAATTCTTCATTTAGCTATTGACAATATCAAGGAGCTTTT